ATGAAATCGAAATTCACAACAATTAGGGTTACATACCTTTTTGATTGTTATTGCAAATAATAAAAATGGAACCATTCTTCTAGATCTTGGAAAGTTATAGCACCAAATGAATGGATGCCTCTAATAGTTTGTACCCAAAACCCTAGTAGAAAGAATACTTGAGGAGAGAGGAGGATAGAGTCAAATTTTGGCTCTATGAAAGCTATAAGGAGTGAACAAAATAATGAGATCCAAGGAGGTGTTTATATAGCTTAAGGAAACTTGAGGCCAAAACTAGGGTTTTCAGGATAAGGCCCATATTAGTTAATATAATAATCAAGCTGTCTTATCTCCTCATATTAAGCCTCATGAACGAAATTTCTAGGTCATTCCTAGCCAAATTTCGTTCACCCCCATCCCATGGGGTTCTAGAGCTTTCCTGCTTTAACTTTCAATAAATAACCAACTAGTTCCCGTACATTTAATTAATTCCAATTAACTTCTGATTAATTCCAAATTAATTACTATTATTTATTATCATATAACATATTAATAAACCAATTATTCCAATTTATTAATCATATAATAAATTAACAATTCAGCCTCTTTTTCCAAAAGTGATTCTATCCAAATACTAGTTTTGAGGGCAATCCCAAAAGGACTTTGCTCCTAATTCAAGAATATATCAATTTAGTTATTGGCTTAGACACCTTCATCCAATAAGCATTGTTGTAAAAATCTCAACTAGGTCCCGATTAATCTCCGATTAATCTTTAGGCGCTACTCGACCAATTAGAGGGTGCCTAGCGATTAATCCCTGCATATATAATGAGTGAAACATTATAAAACGATGAAATTTTAACATTTTGAAGAAGTTTTATTTCAGTGGAAACTATTTGAGGCATGATTAGTGTTGTACTAATCATATTAACCTATTTTGTTATCATATTAATGGTATTTACGAACTTTGATGATATTATTCATATTTAATTTTTTAAAATTCAACAAATTAGCAATTAATGGTCCCCGATTAATCTCCGCCTAGCCGATTAATCCCTTGACCCTAGTCCACCGACTAGCTAACGTCGAACGTTTTTTACAACCTTGACAATAAGAAACATATATTGAGGATTGGATCCTGATATTGCTCTCAGATGCCTAAATTAGATATTGTTTTGTATTGTATTTTATATAAATTGCCTTCTTGTTTTTTCGTCCCCCTTCTGTAACAAAAACTTACCTTTATATAGGCGAGGCTTGGCCCAATTTATGGCTTTCTTTCATGTATCATGTGTTAGTCCATAGGTCCTTAGGGTAGAACCTTTTAATAAAATAAGCTTTCTTTTTTGTGTTTCCTAGAATGTTGTTTGGTATGATTTTGTACGGTAGATACGCGATTATTATACTGGTGGTTGGCTTGGTAAAGTTGTGGTCGGCCTGTAAAGTCTGTATTAGGCTTGATTGTTGGCTCTTGGTCTATCTTGGCCTACTTTAAGTGTGGGTGTAGCCCACACCCCATTAGCCAAAATCTCATTGATCCAAGATTTTATTAAACCTTATAATTCTGATAATAATTTTCCTGATTTACCAACTCACCAGCTTCTAAAGAAATCATACAACCCAATAATGTCTAGAGGTGCTCGAGTGTACCCCGAAACCTCAACTGCAAGAGACTCTCGAGCTTATCCGTGTCTGTTAACCTCTAACGACTCATGCTAAATTCAACCATCCCTATCAGGTTTTCGAACTGCAACTCGAACCCCCATGCACCATCAAACAAGAACAGTATAGGAAATCTTCATCACAATCCTCAACTTGAGCTCCCTAACATCCTAGAATCCATATACATGGAGAAACATCTTACAATCTAAAATCCTAAAATCAAAAAATATGGAATCAAGTAGTCCTTTAAACATTTCAACTTTATCCCAAAACCTTTATCACACAAGAACAGGTGGAAGGGATGAGTTAAAAGTTCTAAGTCCATGGAATCTCATTCCTACAATTCACTACCCGATCTAAGGAGGTATAAACAAAGAATTATCCACAGTATAACAACTAGCGTGAAGAGGGCCACAAAAGCAACACTTAATATAAAAGGATAACATAGAAATGATAAAATTGAAAACATACCAATAGTCAACACTTATATATATATATATATATATATATATATATATATATATATATATATATATATATATCCATCTATTCATATGTTCATGTACACAAACCAATAAATCACCATGATCAAATTCTTTCCCAACTCATTTCTCATGCGGGTCATCACCATCAATCTCATCCAAGATTCTACCTTCTTCTTCATTGTTATCCTCCCAACACCATCCTATGAATCATAAGTTCAACAAAAAACAACCATTTTTAGGAATTCGAGGAGGAATCAACAAATCTTCCAAAACCCCTGATGATGCTCTCACTGATCTTCTAGATCAGAACATCAACAAATATTTTTCATTTGATTACTAACAAAGAAAAAAGATCGAGAGCTTTGAAGAGAGAGGGAAATTTCATTTGTTGTTCATCAAGTAAACCCATTACACTTAAATACAATTAGTGAAACAAATCACCAAAATCAATCTTGATGAATATTAAATAGGTAAGAAAGGTGTGGAGAGTACACTTGTTTAAGTTTATTCGGGATTCAAAGTAGACTGACATTTATTGGAGAATCCCCTGAACGAACGGGGGTTCGGGGGCAGCCCCCCTGGGAGCGGGGTCTAAGGGGCGACAGCCCCTGGCGGGTTCCAAGGGTCAAAACCCCGGGTTGGGGTCGAAATCTTGTTTTGGCTTTGCATTAATTTATTAAAAATGGGTCGAAATCCTGTTTTGGCTTTGCATTAATGGGGTCAAAATCATGTTTTTGGTTATATTGTTGTATTAAAAATGCATCAGAAATCCGAATTTTGAATATTTGACCCAATTTTGGCTTTGTTAATTCCTTATAGAAAAACCATTTTATGACAGTTTTTGACTTTTGGAAAAACTGTTTTATGACAGTTTTATCAGTTTTCAGACATAAAACTCTTTTTTGACAGTTTTCTAACAAATGAGGCATTTAACCGAATTTTGGTCAGTTTTTTGGTACTTAGAAATTGATATTTCTCATTCTATGTTCTAAAACTCTTTTGAGTCTTATCCAATCAAAGATTAGGGAGTAGCACTCAAATACTTTGAGTTGAAAGTGAAATCACAATTTTCAGAATATCCAAGTGCCTTTATTATCCCAAATTTTTAACATCAGGCAGAGAATTAACTAGTGAAGGACCAGTGGTGATTGGTGACGAAAAAAAAGTACAAGCAGGAAGCAACAGAAGGGAGACAAGAGAGTACATGTGTTTCACTTAGGTCCTCTGGTAACCTGTGATTTTTAGGTGTCGATAAATGAAGGGGTAGATGAAACCAAAGGGAATCAAGTATTGTTCATCATCTTCTAGAATGAAACCATGGAGAAAACCCTTGGTAACCCTTGGTTTTTCATATGATCTATCATTTTGTTGGTTGAATTAATTTGATTCAACTTACAAACCCCTTGTTGTCTTCTACTTCGCCTAGACACTCTCATCATCTATTGACACACACATTTCTCCTTATCTTTTTCATCCTTGTTCCAAGAACCAATTTGATGCGTTGAAAGGAAACGAATAAACCCAAAAACTCACATTCTTCAATTGTTGCATATTTAGCTTCTTTCATATGATGGGTGATTAAGAAAAAAAAGGACAAAAATCCTCCAATGATCGAAGCGATTAAAAGATCTAAAACAGAGTAGTATTACACCTACATCAACTAATTTAGTTGATTTGGGAGGTATCATATTAAATTTGTTGTTAAGCATGAATGTTAATTTCACTAGATTCGATTGATTTTGCAGAAATTTGGTTCGTTAAAAGATGAATACATTATCTTGTATCGATCTAATCTCGATTATCTAGCGTCGATTGAGAAGGATCGGATGAATGCATAATCATGTTTTTGTGTGTTTTAATCTAAGCCTAAGTTGTTTGTTTTCTTTTTCCTTTTATTTAAATAGATTTAAATAAAGAAAATCAAAAATATTTTAAAAAGGCTAAATAATGATTATTTGTTAAAAGTTTTGAAACGATAAAGTATGCTTATAGGATTATTTAAACTTAGGGACAATATTCCAGATTTATGGAAAACTACAAACACCATTTATGAGGTTTTGTCTTTAATATAAAAACCTTATAAATAGTTTATACCATTATATGATTTGTCAAAAATAAAAAATATCATTGAACATTTTGATTAGGTAAATTTATAAATCATGAGGTGATGATACTCATAAAATGATTAAAATCCAGGGTGATCTCGAAGAAATATGGTATTTGTATCTTTTTTGCGTTCTTCAAATAGTATGATTGGAACAAACCAAACTGACCTCATTGGTATAGCTTCTTGTCCGGACATTGTAAGGGGGTGTTTCAAAACAATTTATCAAAAAGCTAATAAGTAAAAAAAGAAAAAAAAAATTGCAAACTCAAAAACATTTTTTAGAATATTTTTTTCATCAGCTTCAAAAAACAGTTTTTAAAAAGATGTAAAACTTGGCTTCATGAAATTGCTTTTGACTTTTTAACCAAAATAGAAATGAGTTTTTGGCTATTTAACACTTTTTAGCTTTTTCACCATAAAAGCAATGCAATCACTTTTTAAAAAACCTATTTTACCACCACTATATTGTACTATAATACACCCCCTAAGTATGAAGCTAAATATTAATCTTTGAATGAGAATAGAAGAGAGAAAATAACGGTTAAGGTGGAAAAATCATTTGAAAAAGTTGGGTCAATGCATTCACCTCTATTCTATGTGGCCCGTTGAAAGGGTGTTTTTTGATTGCTCTTAACAAGTAAATACGTAAACTGTATATGCCTAACAAGTTGTACCTTATTCTTATGTCTCATAAAAAAAGCCTCCTAAATACAAAAAGGTTGGCTGTTTGTTTGTTGTTGCGCCTAGTCAAACTCATTCTAATCAAGGCCTGGGTTATACAATATCACCTATAAAATTTTATTACAACACCAATGAACCCATATCAGACTTGATTTAATAATTTCATATTTAAATGCAATAGTTTTTCTTTGCAAACCAACAAAATATCTTCATTAAAATTTCATAGACCTCAACAAGGTACACAAATCTTGAACAACAAAAGCCAAAAAGAGGCCCAAAAACAACATAAAAACAAAATGCCATCTTCACTTCAAGACAAAGACTAAACACCAAAACCTAAACCACAGTTATTAAAGTTGTGTATCATAAAATCGTATCCTCATCATCATCATCCTGTCCTCCACCAAACCAAAACTCCTCTCACTTTGCCAGCTCAGCACGAAGCTTCTTGGCAGCTGTAACCATGGCTTCAAGAGCAGGCTTGACCTCACCATACTTACGGGTCTTCAGCCCACAGTCAGGGTTGACCCACAAGATGTTAGTCTCCAACACCGCAAGCATCTTGTTGATTCTGTCATGAATCTCCTCCATTGATGGTATTCTTGGAGAGTGGATGTCATACACACCGGGCCCAATTCCAGCTCCATACTTCACTCCCTCACGGAACACCGACAAAAGCTTCTCATCAGATCGCGAGTTCTCAATCGTGATGACATCAGCATCCATGTCAATGATAGAGTGGATGATGTCATTGAAGTTGGAGTAGCACATGTGTGTGTGGATCTGTCCATCAATAACAAACAAACAAACATTTGTCAGTTAGTAACAACTAACAACCAACATGATAGGTGCATGTTAATCTGTAACAAACTTCTGTTAGTTTGTTACAACTAACACTCTGGCATGCTTAATTGCGGAGTTCTTATGGGATCTGGTTTTTACCTGGGTGGTGTCCTGGACGCCAACGTTGGTGATTCTGAAGGAGTGCACCGCCCAGTCTAGGTAGAAAGCGTGTTCGGCTTTCCTGAGTGGCAAACCTTCTCTCAAGGCCGCCTCGTCGATTTGGATGACGGTGATTCCGGCTTTCTCAAGATCCTCGACTTCGTCCTTGATGGCCAAAGCAATCTGGTAGCAAGTTTCGAATCTGAAACAAAAGAACGAATCATGTTTAGCGGTTTTTGAAAAGGGCAATTACGTAATTTTTACATAAATTGATTATTATTATTATTAGTATTATTATACCTAGGTTGGTCGTTACGGACGAAGGACCAGTTGAGAATGGTGACTGGACCGGTGAGCATACCCTTCATGGGGCGTTTGGTCATTTCCTGAGCCATGGTGGACCAGAAGACGGTCATGGCCTTGGGGCGGCTGACATCACCGTAGATGATTGGGGGCTTCACGCACCGAGAACCGTAGGATTGCACCCATCCGTTTGCAGTGAAGGCAAAGCCAGACAATTGCTCACCAAAGTACTCAACCATATCATTCCTCTACAATAAACAAAATTGTTTTTTTTTTAGTTTTTGACAACTTTTTAACATTAAAATAATAATAGATATGTATATATATATACCTCTGGCTCTCCATGGACAAGAACATCAATGTCAAGCTCCTCTTGTAGTTGGACAACTTTGAAGATTTCCTCCTTGATGGCCTTAACATACTCTTCCTCAGAGATCCTACACAGACACAGATTAGTTAGAAAATAATTTAAAAAAAAAAAAAATGGAGTGATTTAGAATTTTTGATTACTCACTTTTTGGCCTTGTATTCACGTCTAACTCTCCTGAGTTCAATGGTTTGTGGGAAAGAACCAATGGTGGTGGTGGGGAGAATTGGAAGGTTGAGCTTCTTCTGTTGGGCATCCAATCTAGCACTCACATTGGTGGCACGACGGTGGTCGTTACCTCTCAAAGCAACCGCCTGAGAAACCAAAAGGGTCAAAATTGGAAATTGGAGAGAAAAATATAATAAGGGTAAAACGGTCGATTTCACTTACAGCCTTCTGGACAGCTTCATTGTTGACTCTTGGGGAACACTTCCTTGAGGCAAGAGCTGCAGCATTGGCAGCAAAGAATGCCTGCAAAAAATCAAGAAACACAAACAATCAGTGAATCAATCACCCTTTTGAATTTGATAAACAAACATAAGGGTAAAACGGTAAAACTACTCACTTCATCCTTTTGACCAACGAGGGCCTTTGCCAAAGCGTTGACTTCCACAACCTTTTGAGCAGCGAATGCGAGCCAAGATTTGATTTCGTCATCCAATTTGGTTTCATTCACAAGATCCACAGCAGTGTGGAGGAGTGAAGAAGAGGTAGAGACAACAAGTTTGTCTTTTCCAACAATACCCTCGAGGGATTCAAGAACAGAGAGAGATCCAGCAAGGTCATTAGCCCAGATGTTTCTTCCATCAACAACTCCAGCAAAAAGGTATTTGCCTGAAGGGAAGCTGGACTTGATCAACTCAAGAGTCTTTTCACCACGAACTAAGTCAAAGGTGTAGCCTGTAACTCCTGGCAATGTGGTGAGGGTTTTGAATGCATCAGCTGGAATATCAGCAAAGTAGGTGGCTACAATGACATTAAGACCAGAGCATGTGGATTCAAGATCAGAGTAAGCCTTGGTGAATGCTTCCAATTGGTAGGGTTCAAGATCCTTCACAAGGGTAGCTTCGTCAAACTGGATCCATGAAGCACCAGCTGCCTTTAGTTCAGCAATAACTTCCCTGAAAAAAAAGAAAGATTACTTCTTGTTATATTCCTATTCGTTGTAGATATTAACAAAGTTGGGATAAGAAGACATACTTGTAGATTGGAAGGATTTTGTCAAGAAGGGATAGGAAATCAAAAGTCTTTTCTACCCCTCTTGCGGGTTTGGATAGCAACAAGTAGCTGACTGGGCCAACAAAGACTGGGACAGTATCAACTCCAAGCTGCATAGAGAAAATACAGATTACAAGAGGTTTCTTGATTTAAAGCATAAAAATCAAGATTGGTAATGAAAAGATCAGAAACACATACAGCTTTAGCTTCCTTGTACTCATTCACAGCCTTGTGGGAAGCGTATGAGAATTTCACTTCAGGGCCCAACTCCGGGACAATGAAATGGCTATTTATTAATAAATAAATAAATAAACAGTTATTGATCATATTGTGTGAATATTAACACTGTTAATGAAAAAGAATTGAGATTTGGAAACTTACTAGTTGGTGTCGAACCACTTGGTCATTTCCATGGCGGGAACAGAAGCATTTCCTCTGGCCATTGAGAAGTAAGTGTCGAAGCCAATTTCACCACCGTTCCAGTTGTATCTTGGGGGGACAGCACCAAGCATGGCGGTGGTGTCAAGAACTTGATCGTAGTGAGAGAAGGTGTTGCTGGGGATGTACTTGATGCCAGCATCGGACATTTGTTTCCAGATGGATGATCGGAGATCAGCAGACACTTTCTGCAAATCTTCAGCGGTGGTCTTGCCATCCCAGAAGGATTCAAGAGCGAATTTCAGCTCTCTTTTGGGTCCCATACGGGGGTAACCGACGATGTGAGATGCCATTGATCTGTTCAACCACAGGAAAGTTGTACATTTAGATAAGGTAAGAAGATGAAGCACAAATATAATTGTTTATTTGAAAAGAAATGATTGAGGTTTTCTTGATCTAGACTCAAGCGCCATCTACCTACCCACCAACCATAAAGACTAGTTGTTTGGTGTACAAGTACTACAGTACAAATGGCTAGATACTCGGATCAGTATAAGCTAACATTTTGAGTAAAAAAGTGTTAACATCGGACCTGAAGGAAACCTAACTTCGACTCAACTCTATCGATCTCAACAACCATTCATACTAAATCGAGAATACGTGCATCTTACCTAATGGATAGATTGACTTTAGAAATCTGAAGTAGATTGGAGTTTCGTTCTTTTACAGTGAAGCAGAGTCTAAATGACCCAGACAGAATCATTAGAACAGGGACCGATTTGAAGAAAAAGTTTAGATCTAAACGAAAAAACCTAGATCCATAAGTAGATCTGCAGTTCCTAAAACCCTAGAAACACCAGATCTTATCGTTGTTTTGAAAATAAGTCGATTATAAGTCGCACAATTGGAAATCAATTGCAAGATCTTATGATCTAATTAAACGATCTGTAATTACCGTTTTTCATTTTTACTGAACCACAATTAAACCCCAAAAATCAACAATCGTCGTAAATGTAATGGGCCCCACTTAGCAACTATATTATCCCAAAAATGGCTGAACGCACACATTTTCATAGACTAGTACAGTGCACTACGTCACTACGCGCAAAGATTCGTAACTGTACACAGAAAATGAGATGTTTTGAACAGATCACGGACGTTTAACTATAGATCTAGCTGGTTTCTTACTGGATTCAATTTTTTTTCAACAGAAGATTGAATTAACAGAAAAAGCAAAGTAATTTGCAACAGATCTTCATTTCAGTAGTAAAGTTAAGTTAGAAAGGGGTCAGCTGGACAAGTGAACAGTGTTTCAAATGGAATTCAACCCTGGTAAACCTCAAGAATAAGTGGCGTACCTGTAAGTAGGTAGAAAGACGGAAGATCCGAATCAAAAGGGTCTCAAAGAGACGAATTGGTTGGTTCTTCCGGTGATAGAGAAGAGAGAAGAATGGTGGACACGAATTGGAGAGGAAGGAGAGTAGGGATATTTATACAAGAGTTAGGGGTTGTGGGAGTGGGTGAGATGGTGACTGGGTAGATCTGATCACAATTCATCCCAGTGTGTGCTGAATTAACTACGCGCCGACACTCATGCGCGTGAATTCACGAGTTCCTTTTTCATTTTGGCTTCTCATTTTAACAAAATGGTTTAAGATAAATGAGAAGCTAAACATAAATAGTTTAATATAAATATGTGAGAATGAAACAACTAATTATGGTATTTGATTAAATTCATCTGCTTTATAACTACATGTTACTAGTCAATTGTTATTACAGTCTTTGATTCAAACAAAATAAAGATACTTTTATGATCAAATGTTATTGTGGAATATATATGAAAATGACAAATGATTTAGGCGTTTGTATATACAACTATCATTTCGAAAATGTCTTGTTTAGAAGTACAGAAAATTTGTATCCAATAGTTGGGTTTATAACAATACGGAACTTAAAGTGTTCCGTACTCTTAGTTTTGGAAAACGTTTTTAGAAAGTATATTTCAGATGCAATTTCGGATTTTTTATGTATTGGTTAAGGTTTTGACAAAGTAACATCAAGCACCAATCAGGGGCGGAACACAAGCCTTATAATTAGGGGGGCCGAAATCATATCTCAAAATAAAAACTATATAAACTAGAAAATTTTGGTTCAAAATTATCTTTAGTGGCTTTTCGAAATCTTGAGTAAATAGTATAATGATATTTGATTGTTTTTACCTGTTGATATACGTACTACATTAAAAGAAATTACTGACAACTAAGAAATATATTTTAGCTAACTAATTTTCGATAAATATAGAAGTTCTTTAAATTTATTTTATTGATTACATTGTATTCTAAATAAAATAACAATTATGAATTACTTCAATTTTATACTAATAGGTGTTCTAACTTCCAATTACTTTTACTCTAGTAAAATACAAATACATCAAGTAATTTATGAACAAATAAAAAATAAATATTAAATTATTGTCAGCTTTTTGAGATTAGTCTATATCATACTATCACATATCAATATTTGCACACAATCCCATATATGTTAGCTTATATTGACTTGAGAGAAAGAAAAAAAAAAGAAAAAAAAAGAGAGGAAAAGAGAGAAATGAAGAAATGTTAAAGCTTACTCCCACGAAGAGGATATTCGAGACGGAGAGCAACAGCCGAGAAGCCAACAGAGGCACAACGGAGTTCAGATCTAGCAGTCCGGCGAGGTAGGAAGATGCTTGAGGCAGACAGATATGAGAGAGAGCGCGCACACACACAGAATACGACAATCTAATGACCAATACCAGTGGAGGAGATATAGTTAGGCCGGTGATGGTGACGTTATTTCCGGTGAGATTTTGACTTTTCCGATGGCTGAAATATTTGTTGGGTTTTTTTTTTTTTTTTTTTTTTTTTTTTTTTTTTTGATTTCTTAAGCTTAAAGTTTGAGTTTAGTATTATGTAAATCTGATTATTTTACCTTTTAATAGGATTTAAAAGATGATTTTTTTAGTTTGTTAATTTTCTAATGATCAAGGTGGTATTAGATTTTATTACTGATTCTCGGAAGTTTAGTTATATGGTTATCTACTTATCTACATTCTAAGTTCATGTAGCTGGGTTTTTATAATAACAAGGGTTCTAATTATCCATTTGAGCGATTATTGCATTTATCCCAAAATAAACAATATATAAGAGTATTAGGAAGCTTAAAAGCAGGGGGGTCATGGCCCCTCCTGGCCCCTATTGAGCTCTGCCACTGGTACCAATGATACGGTTTATGTCGAGCTGAATTTTGTTGTTGTTATACATGAGTTCATCAAACCAAATCGATGAAAAAAGTTTTTACAGCCTCCATGTCTACACATACAATCCATAAAAAAGATAAATCTCAAAACAGTTACTCAAATCAAGAAACATGAGTCTCAATCGGTTTGAGTTTTTAATTTTCACCATTGGTATCATGATAAGATTCATAATAGTTAAGGTTTGATTAATATTGTGATTAATGGTCCAATATTTTGTATCTTCAGGCGTTTCTAAATTTTTGAAGTTAATAGATAATGTCATCTTAAAATGAAACTAATTAGAAACCATGTTTTTAGTGGTTTCCATGGAAGGGAACCATCAAATCTTGCATGTAACCTATCGAGTGAGGAATAGGGGTCATATTTTTTTTTAATAAGGTTAAATGAATACTCACCGGAGATTAGTCAATTAGCCAACATATCTAATATGATCGTTCTACATATCTTTCGAAATGTATATCACTTGTTTTGTCATTAGAACTTTTGATCATGAATTTACAAGTTAGGACTATAAATTTGACCATTGAAAAGTTGTTATGGGAAACATGAAAGGTTGTATAAAAACAATTTAATTTAATTTCGAAAAGAGTTTAGCTAGGCTCCAATGTGTAATTACGAGTCACATGAATTATTTAACAATATCGTTCATGATAAATGGACAAGACATGCTTCCCTAACATGCATTATAATGTATAAACATCAAATATTTTTATGACATCTACATATTATCGACATATAAATGAAATTTTACGATGAGAACATTCATTAAGGTTTTTGTGGCATGATGCAACATCGATATATACTAGTATGAGATAATTATATAAACATCGATATGCAACTACTTTTTAGCATTGTGTGAAGAGAATCATAATATCTTTTATTGTGATGCTTTATGATGAGATCATTCATAATGCATATTTAGGGTTGTAAACGAATCGAACAAACACGGATGATAGTTGATAATGTTTGCTCATTTAAGTGAGTCGAACAAACGAACGAACACGAACAAATAAACGAACAAGTTTTCTTATTCATGTTTCTTCATTTAATAAATTACATTGTTAATGTTCGTTCATTTATCTTTATGAACATGCTAAAAAACATAAAAGAATGAATAAGAAAAAAAACATAATTTAAATTATATGAACATAAACAAACATAAAATATAGTAATGTAATCAAACATAATTGAACATATATGAACACAAAATGAACTTAACGAACGTAAATGAACAAGCATAAATGAACATCCACGAACAATATCATTGTTCATGTTCATTCATTTAACCAAATGAATGAGAATTTGTGTTTATGTTCGTTCATTTATTAAATAAATGAAAATACACAAACTTCCTGTCAAACGATTCACGAATAGTTCGTTGAACACTCAGTTCATATACAAATGCACATCTAGTGCTTTGAAGGAGGACACTCAAGTAAGAGCCTTGAATATATGCCTTATAGATAATGAAATATTTTAAGTACGTGATTACATAAAGAATGGTGTTGTCAATCTACATGATATAATTTGTACACGTCAAAAATGACAATGTTTTGGTATACCGTGTATTCATTCGATGGTGCTAATTAAATCACCAGCCTTTAAACAATATTTTTCATGTCGATGATGTATCGATTTGTGTTGCTACTATTCTATAGTTGTTTTCTTGTTCCTTTCTAGCATTAATATTTCTCTATGCATTATGCATGTTGCTCGGCCATCTGAGGGTGTGATGGTTGCATGTTGATTCATATGGAGCCCCCATATTAGATCATTTACTTGGTTATATTGAATTTTTAGGTTTGCTTATCTTTTTTACATGATGCAATTTATGGGGCCGTTCCCGGCGGTTCCGTGAAACTTGTAGTATTTGTTATTGTTTTTGGGAGGGAACTTCTCACATATTGTATGATTATGTGTTTTTTGGAGTGGTATATTGTTGTTATGCTTTCTCGTGTGTCATTTTTATTAGTTGGTTGGTATCATTTCCTTTGATGTATGTTTTGAATACTTGAAAAAAAAATCAAGTAACAAAAGTAGTGTAAACAAAACATCATATGATCTATACATTGGATATATGTTCATGTAATTCAAGAAACAAAAACTAAACTACAAGTGGGTTAGTGTATTTATACCTTTTCCAGTGATCAAAAAGTAAAACCAAAGGATCCAAAGTAGAATTCTTTTATCACAGTCACAACCAAAAGCAGAAATCCTTTAAACAAGTAAGCAATAAGATCAAAGCAGAAATCCTTTAAACAAGTAAGCAATAAGATCAGGGGCAGAACACAAGCCTTATAATTAGGGGGGGGGGGGGGGGGGGATCATACCTCAAAATAAAAACTATATAAACTAGAAAAACTTGGTTCAAAATTATCTTTAGTGGCTTTTCAAAATCTTGAGTAAATAGTATAATGATATTTGATTGTTTTTAACTGTTGATATATGTACTACATTAAAAAAAAATTACTGACAACTAAGAAATATATTTTAGCTAACTAATTTTCGATAAATATAGAAGTTCTTTAATTATATTTTATTGATTACATCGTATTCTAAATAAAATAACAATTATAAATTACTTCAATTTTATACTAACTAGGTGGGGAACCTCCGTCTTGCGGGGGTCGGATGCGATAGGCCTTTCAGCAAAATTGAAATATGAACAAAATAACTTTACATTTTAAGAATGATTTTTTAAAAAAATTAAATTCCTATTTTTTACATATTAATTTTCACTATAGAATGTAAAAAGTTTGTTCTTTTTTATATATATTTGTTTTAAAAAACAAAAATTGCACCTTAAGACGGATTTGAACACAAAATGACCGGGAAACCGAAACTATTCTCAACACGTATCCGCACAAAATATGGAACTGACATAAAATGACCTAAAGATGGATTTGAACACAAACACATAAACAAAGGACCATTCTTGCCAAAAATCACTTAAGCTTATTATTCTTAAAAAGTGTCCTCCTTTAATATATATATATATATATATATATATATATATATATATATATATATATATATAAGAATAGGTGTTCCAACTTCCAATTGCTTTTACACTAGTAAAATACAAATACATCAAGTAATTTATCAACAAATAAAAAATAAATATTAAATAATTGTCAGCTTTTTGAGATTAGTCTATATCATACTATCACATATCAATATTTGCACACAATCCCATATATGTTAGCTTATATTGACTTGAGAGTGAGAAAAAAAAGAAAAAAAAAAGAGAGGAAAAGAGAGAAATGAAGAAATGTTAAAGCTTACTCCCACGAAGAGGATATTGGAGACGGAGAGCAGCAGTCGAGAAGCCAACAGAGGCACAACGGAGTTCAGAT